AAATGCCCGAGACAGAACCTTTCTACTGTCCCCATGTATCAAATGAATAAGGCACACAACCGGGCTGAGAATGCAGGGCAGTATTGGTCAGCTGTATATCTGTATGTCTGTCTAGAAGGCTGGCAGTCACCCAGATCTCCCTGTTGGCCTCAGAGCTGGGGCTTAAGTCGGAGGCTGTTTAAAGCCCCGTACATCCCAAGTTAGTTGCACTAGTCTTTAGGGGCCTGGGCTCCTTTCTGGATTGCTGCCACCAGCCACCAGCCTGTGCTATGTTTCAGTAAGTCTGCTCAACTGGGTCCTAAGCCAGTTGAGTTTCCCTTGGGAAGAGAAGATGAGTGTCCCTGCATGAATAAGGACAGGGTTGGAATCTGAGAGACTTGGGTTCAAGACCAACTTGCCTCCCTTTGGAGCTTCTCTTTTTGAGACAAGGTCTCACTGTATAGTTTAGGCTAGCCTTGAACTTGAGTTCATCCTGAGTGCTCGTACACAGGCATGTGACCCTGTGTCTCCCTTATTAGCTTTTTGATGTTAGACATGGGGTGGAGGACTAAGACAGACATGACTCGTTCTCGTGGGCCTCGTTCAGGGACTTGAAGAGCAGCCTATCAACCATGAACACTGAAGTTATTCCTGGAAGGGGTAATGCCATGACGGAGAAGGGGCCGTGACTGGGTGGAGGAAACACAGCCTGTGCATGGTGGGCAGGACTGACCTTGATGAGCAGATGACATCTGAACTGAGAAATGGTACTAAGGAAGGGCTAGCTAAAGAAGGGTCCAGAGGGGGTATTTGGGGAGTGGGCACACCAAACAAAAGGCCCAGGGTAAGGGTGGACTTAAACTGTTCAACAAACAGAAAAATAAGATCTCTTTACCTGGAAAGAACATAGCTAACAGAAATATCCCCTGGGTAGGGTCATGAGAGAAATAAATGAACCCTGTGCTAGCTAGGGCACTTAGTAGGTGCCTGGACGACATGGTAGCTGTTTTGGATTGTTGAGAAGATGGCAGGGAGAGTAATATCCCATTCTGACTGGGATCCTGTCTCTGTGGACCAGAGTTCCTTTTTGAACACTGTTTTCTTCCTCTGGCGAGCATTTCTACTCCTCCTTCCCCTACTCCAGGCAGGTCACATCTTTGTCTAAAACCCCACAGTGCTTTCTTGGATGCTGACAAGGAGACCCAATGCTGCTAATCTGAAGGGTCTGGAAGGGCCTGACTGGCCTCTTCACTGAAGGTCCCACGAGTGGCAGGGCCTTCCTCTGGGTCACTGTCCCCTCACTTTAAGATATAACCACAGTGACCCTCTGGCTCTACGGCTCTATCATGTCTCACAGCATCACTTCCTTCAAGCTCCTGTCTCTGGCTGAGGGTGTGGCTCGGTTGATTGAGTAGGCCTAGTGTGCAGGAAACCTCGGGTTTGCATTCTATGAAGATGGGTGTGGGGCACATACCTGTAAATCCTGGCACTCAGAGGCAGGAAGATCAAAAGTTCAGGATCACCCTCTTCTCAGTAAGTTCAGGGCCAGCCTAAACTGTAGGCTTCCCATGAGTCTTGGGTGTTTGAATACTTGGTGCCCAGATGATGGCTGTTTGGGGAGGTTTAGGAGGTGTGGCTTTGCTGAAAGAACTATGTCCGTGAGGGCAGGCTTTGGAATTTCAAAAGACTGATGCCATTGTGGAGTTAGCCTTCCCTGTGGATTAATCCACATGTGGATCTTAATCCTTACATGTGGATTAAGATGTGAGTTCCTGCTTCTGCTCCACTGCCATGTGTGCTTGCCACCAGCACCAGGCCTGCCTGTCACCATGTTCTGCATATAATGGCGATCGACTTTTATCCCTTGTAGCTGCAGACCCCCGAAAAAACAGTTCCTTCTATATGTTGTCTTCGTCATAGTGTTTTATCATAGCAACAGAAAAGGAAATATACAATCCCTTCTTTCAGAACAATCTGGACTTACAGCCTCCTCCTGCAATTGTGGTATACATGATCATTGAATGCTAGCTTCCCCCAAAGAATGTTCCAGATCAGGATCTCTCTCTGTTTCCCCACTAGTATCTGAAATCTGTCCCATAAACATTTGTTGGTGAATGTTCCCCTCCCCCCATCTCCTCCCCTGCTTAACATCTCATCAGCAAAGATGTTTGCTGATGATCACTAGATCTCTCTCTCTCTCTCTCTCTCTCTCTCTCTCTCTCTCTCTCTCTCTCTCTCTCTCTGTCTCTCAGCTCTATTCCATGCTGTCTTCCTGTCATGGTCCCTCCCTAAGTGATCATACCCATACTTGCCTACAAGCTTTAGGGATGGCTATCTGGATGTGCTTTGAGTCCTGAGGTACCCTCAGACTGTACACCTGCATCACCAAGACCCATGGATACCTCAAGGCACCTCAGTTTAGCACATTCTGTGGTGTGTCCATGACTTTTTCTTTGAGGCTGAGTTAGGCTAGGCCACCTACCTCAGAAGCATCAAGGTCTAGCCAGGCAGGAAGTCTTTGTCTTCCCTGCTCTTCCCCTGTTCTTCCCATACCCTAAAGTCACCCCCAAACATCACTCCATTCCATCAGTCTTTCTTCACCCACTGCTATCCCTGCCTCAGCTCCCCTCAACTCCTGAGTTGGTGCCATGGTGTTTGGAAGGGAAGGTCTGAACCCTGAGACCCCTCAGGGGCTCCTCACTGCTCCCCAAATGCAGCTGGGCTCTCCTGTGGCCTTGCTGTTCTCCTTTTCTACTAAAGCCCTCCTCTGGCTCAGGATGATGGAAGTGGTGGATGAAGGAAAGCCTCTCAGGATGTGCTTCTGGGTGACCTAGTCAATGCCTCCCTTGCTCTCAAACCTGAGCTGTCTCAGACCCAAGCAACCTTCTGGCCACAGGACCTGGTTCTTCAGATAACCACAGTCTTTATCTTGAACAGTCTTAGCTTGGCTACTTGGCATAGTGCTTTTGGTCTCTCCCAGTCACAGTGCCAGCTTTAGGAAGGAGCTGTGGCTCAGAGAACAATCTTCCTGACTATGAAATATGTTTGCATGCTGAACAGCTTGATATAAGGGAAATGAAAAGCTTTCAACCCACGCTTCGAATCAAGGTCCTCCACCCACCATCACTCAAGGAGAGTACTTCTGTCTGGTGTTCCTGTTATCTGCACAAAGACTAGACAGCATCAGAAAAGACATAGGTGCCCTTCCCCAGCTGACTGGGGGCTGGTATGGGTTATCTATCTCAGAACAGAAGATTAAGTACCAGATCCACTCTCCTTACAAGATCATAGCTATCCCTTGGGCTCATTCAAACTCCAGATAGGATCTTCATGCAGGCTAAGTTCTATCCCCAAACCAGTCATTCTCCATGGTCATCACTGACAGCCCTTATAGGAAAAGGAGGTGTACAGGTCTCTGAGGGTCTGGCCTGTGAGGAATGGTAATGTGTCTTGTCTTTTGTTAGGTGTCCTGCTCAGTGAGTTTCAGTGAGTTCAGAGGGAAGAAGGGAAACTTTGTCTCTACAAAGCCTAATTAGCTTTGTTACATTTGAACCAATGTCTAGACTAGCACCTGCCACATAAGCACATTTCCCATGAATTGATGAGATTTTCTCTACTTGTGGTTATAAGAGGCCATGGCTGCTTAATTACACGTCCTCAAGACTAGGGCTCTGTCTCAAATCTTTTAGAAAGTGTTCCCTTTATATATGCCCTCATATTCACTTCTAACACGGTGCTCCCCACCCAAAGTCTGCCCCCAGAATATTAATTTTCTAGCCTTGATCACAAGTTTGATGTCTTCCCAGGATAAACCGAATGGCTGCACATTGTAGTAGCCATCATTATTCTACGCCGATGATCATTGGCAGTTATAATTATTATCTGGCTCTGTAATTCCAGTTGTAATTGCTGGCCTGGTGAGATCTGAGTTGACTTGGGTGGTGTGTATGCATTGTCATCTGCAGGGCTGCCCCTGGAAACACAAGTAGGTAGGCTTGCTGAGGGGCAGAGATACCCAGCATTTCTCTCCACCGGTTCTCACTTAGATAGCTATGAGAATATCCCCAGAGGTGCTAGGAGGGGGAACTGCCAGGGGTACTACTCGGGGAGCTGCACTACTTGAGAGAAGCCCCTAGTACCTCTCCTAGCCCAGGACCTGTCCAGAGCTGTAGAGCTAAGAAACTACACAGATAGAACCTGATAGAGTCTCTGGCTAAGATCAACCTTTCTCTGCCTTTTTACTACTGGCCTTGCCTGATAGAAAAAAGCACAGAGTCTCTCCTGCCAGTGTCTGCAAGTCCCCACCATGCTACTTGCCAGTTTTCTTCAGAGGATTCTGCCTCAGCCATCTCCACAGGCTCTCAAGGCAGTGCTGATAGATCTTCAAAACCTATCTGACCCTGGCCTTCTGTTAGGCTTCACAGCACCAGCCCCTGCATCTCTCTGAATACAACAGACAGGTTGCTGTCTCTGGGCCTTTATTCACACAGGGCAGCCCAGAGGAACTACCTCAGAGACAGTGGGAATCCCTTTGTGAGCTTCCTTAAGAGTGGGCCCTAAGTTAAATGCCTGCCTTGAAGAGGTCTGAGTGTTGCCTTTCTACTTAAGTGTGGGAGTTCTTCTGCTAGTCAGGAAAATCCTCCACAAAGGCCAACATCAGTCCCTTGAAGGTCAACCAAACACAGCAAACTGCTGGAAGGAAGGTAGCAATGGGAAGTGTAGGGGAGGCTGAGCCCTGACTGAACATAGGAGTGAGCACATGGGGGTCATAGCCCACTTCCATGAGTCTCCAGCTGCAGAAAGAGAAGTCTGTTCCTAGAAAGCTGGTCCCTCTGTTCTGATGTAAACATGTGGACCAAAAGGAAGATGCTGGGCATCTCAACAGCCTCAAGGTGGGAGTTACATCAGCACCCCATGCAGAAGATGAAGGGTCTGTGTCCACATAGTACTTCCCGGTGCTGCCCACATGAACACATGGAGAAAAGAAACAAAGGAATGAATTGGCAGAACTGCCCAATTACCCATTTTTCCTCTCTTCCCAATTGTTCCTTTTTCTCCCTTTGGACCCTGGACACCAGGTTGTCCGTCTGATCCATTGTGGCCTGGTAACCCACCAGCTCCTGGAGGTCCTGTGCCAAGCATCAAATGGGAACAGTTAACATCGTCACTGAAGGTGATGGGATCCCTCTAGCTAGTGAGACAGCCAGCATCTATGCCGTTTCCCACATCTTCCTGCTTTTTCCCAATCTCCTCCTATAACAGGGACAGGTGGAGGGTGGCGGGGGGGGGGCTCTCAAGTTAGAGCCACAGAAAAGGATATGGATGCAGGTAGGATGCGACTTTACCCCACCCCTCCACCACCAAGAACCCTGGTTCTTGGATCCTGGCCTTAAGCCTTCCATAGCTGCCCCTTGAAATAGGAAATGGGTACTTACCTGGTGGGCCAGGTGGTCCTACAACAGAAAAGAGAAAATAGATGATAAAGCCAAAGGAAGTAGAATGAGAAACCAGTGTCACAAACCCCTTTCCTCCCTAAAAATGTCTTTGTCACCTGCTAAGAAAACAATCTTGCATTATTATTTATAGTTTACTATGTCCTCCCTAAGAGAAAAGCAACTGAGCAAAAAAACACTTGCTAATCAAACTATTTTTTAAAATTACATTTCAACAGGCCTAGAATAATTTCTGGGCAGGTTTCAATATAGATTCATACATCAATCATCTTAGAAAAGGTCAAACTAATTATCTGGGGGCCAATGGAAACACAAATTCTCCTACAGTCCTGGTGAAGGATAGGTGTCAGCACATGCCACTTCAGAGCAGAACACTGATTGTCACTAGAACACTTATAAGAGCCCCCCCCCACCATTCCCAGCCACCTTGTCTCCTCTAGGACACTGAGGAGTAACCCTAGCCTACACTGGCTTTATGGGCCTGTATTTTGTTGCATGAAATAGCCTGAGAAAGTCTGAGAGTTCAGGTCAGGTGACAAATAGATTCTTTAGTGTGAAATGATCTGAGGACCTAAGTGGTTTGGATGAATCATTTACACAGAACTGAGCAAATGATTTTGCTTCCAGAAATAGGCATGTCTTACTGTTTAGCTAGACTGAGCACTTGGGCTAGCCAGAAAGTCTGTAACATGAGAAAACTGAGCTCCTTGTGTTTCTCTAGCTAATACATAATGATTTCCAACCTGAGCCTTTGACCACTCAGAGGCAAGCATTTCTAAATGTATGTCATGCACACCAAACTCCACTAAGAAATCTCAATACTGGTGTCTGCTGTGTTCATAGTCTATGCAAGGGCGGAGCCTTTAAAACTAAAGGGCAATATTGAGGGCTAGATAAAGAAGCCACCACCAGGAAACTGGGAAAATTTCTGGCCACATTGAAATCTGAGAAGAGCTCCCAAGAAGGTGATCTTTGGACTGAGGTCCTAAAGAAACAGTGGGACTAAGAAGTCAGTATATATGGGCCCAGGACAGAGAGAAGTCAAGGTCTGAAGGGAACTATCAAGGCTCAGGATGGGAGAAAGAATAAAAGAACTGCCCATGCTTGTGGGGTGGACAAGGCCATGGATGGGCTACACAGCGAGAAGCACCTGAATGCCAGGATAAGACACAGACTCTGAGAGGCGGGTACCTGAGTGGAATGTGCCACTGGGATATCAGTGTAGGTGTGAGATGTTCTCTGTAGCAGGAAGATGAGCACAGCTAAGTTAACTGGATAGAAACAGATGGGGTGCACAGAGAAGCTGACAGGGGTATGATGGGGAGAGAACATACAAACCTTTGAGGTGAAAGTCGGGCACAGTTGTGGGTAAATGTGACAGCTGAGTTGCAGGAAAAGCTAGAAGTTCAAAGAATATCTCCATGGAATAAGGAAGACTCCGTGTCCAGTTAGAAGTAGGTGGGGGGATTTTAGACAAATGGATTCTAGGACATTGATGAATAGCGTCTAGGGACATAGAATTCTTGGAAGAATGATGTCTGTGAGCACTTTCAACATGCAGGGATTTTCAGGGATTTCAGGCCTTTCTCAGTAGCTCAATTTTCTTTTCAGGGGATAGCTCTAACCAAGTAACCAAAAGACATATATAATAAAAACCTTATGAAATTGGAGAAGATGTCAGGAGATGAAGATATCTGCCACGCTTATGGATCGCTCAATTTAGGATTAACACAATGAAAATGGCCATCCTACTAAAAGCAATCCACAGATTCAACACCTTCCCTTTCAAAATGCCACCACAGGTTTCCACAGAAATCGATAGGACAAATTACAGTTTCCTATGGAAACACAAAATAAACAGGACAGGTAAAACAATCCTGACTCATAAAAGAATTGTGGGAAGGATCACCATTTCTGATTTCAAGCAATACTACGACAGTAGAGGAATAAAAACAGCATGGTTTAGCATAAAATAAACACAGTGATCAATGGAATTGAATTGAGGACCCAGATGTAATTCCATACACCTATGGACAAAGCCAGAAATACACACTGGGGGAAAAAAAACCCAGCATCTTCAACAAATGATGTTGGTCAATCTGGATGTCTGCATGTAGAAGAATGCAAATAGGTTGCTGTTTCTCACCCTGTACAAAACTCATCGCTAAATAGACTAGGGCTCCACATAAGGCTAGATAATACTGAGTCTGGTAGAGGAGGAAGTGGAGGGATAGCCTTGAACTCATTGGCACAGGAAAGACTTTCTGAGCGGGACACCCAGTTAACCCAGGCACTGGAAACAACAGTTAATACATGGGACCTTACAAACCCGAAAAGCTTCTAAACAAAGCACGCCACCATTTGGACAGAGCACCAGGCTACTGTGATTTCTCTAACGATGAGACACACATGGGTGGGAAATACGTAAGTGTTTACTGTCCGAAGTCATCAGGGAAATTCAAATCAAAGCTGCTTTGAGATACACCAGTTAGAATGGCCAGGATCAAGGAAACAAGTGACAGTTCATGCTGGTAAGGATTCGTGGGAAGGGAGCATGGACTCACTGCTGTGTTGTGGGAGTGCAGACTTGTACAGCCACTGTGAGAATCAGGGTGGAGATACCTCAGGAGGCTGGAAATAGATCTACTTCAAGATCCAGCCCCACCACTCCTTCACATGTACTCAAAGGACTCTATATCCCACTATAGAGACACTTGCTCAACATGGGAGAAAGTCAAATACTATTGTTCTGTTAAAGGAACACATCAATGAAGTGGCTCCTAATGACATTCTGCTGTATTCACAGATCAGTGCCTTGCTCAGCCATCAGCAGAGAGGCCTCCTCCTGCAGCTCATGGGAACTAATATGTAGATTCACAACTGGACTATGTGCAGAGAGTCAGAGACCTTGGAATGCTCAATCATAAAATGGGATTTCTTCACTAATTCTCTCTCCTCGGGGCTCAGGGAACTATGTGGGAGAGGAGGCAGAAAGAGTCTAAGAGCCAGGGAGGTTGTAAGACTCCAGGGAAACAGTGTCTTCCAGACACAACAGGGCTGACACACATGTGAACTCCCAGAAACTGTGGCAGCAGGCAGAGTCTGCACAGGTCCAAGCCAGACAGGGTGCCAGAGCTGAAGGTGTCAAGCAGACGTAGGCTCCTACCCCTACCAAGAAGCCATCTCCAATTGACAGTCGATGGCAAAAACCAGTTTCCTTCAACTGAGTGTCATTGGTTCTACAAACCACACTTAAGGGCAGGCCCCATGCCCCAGAGTAGAAGGCTAACAAAATGAACTCAGCCAGTTTTGGAGATTTTTTTTGTTGTTGTTGTTGATGTCTCATATAGCTTTGTTTGGGCATTTAAAAAAAATACTGTTGGCTTTTTGTTTTTATATTATGGTTTCTGAATTTGAGTTTTTATGTGTTTTGGGTTATGTGTGTGCGTGTGTATACCTGTGTTTCTTGTGCTTTTTCATTTCTTTCTTCTTTTTAATTGTTTTTATCCTATTTGTTTTCTAAAATGAGAAAGAAAGCACGGACTCAGACGGGTAGGGAGGTGGGGAGGAACTGGGAGGAGAGAGGGAGGGGAAACCATGATCAGAATATATTGCAATAAAAAAATATTTTCATGGTGCACTCCTTTAATCCCAGCACTCAGAGGCAGAGGTGGGTGTATCTGTGAGTTCTAGATCAGCCTGCTCTAGACTGTTCTAGTGGCTTCCAGGATAGCCAGGGCTAAGAGAAACTACTCTTTGTTTGTTTTTTTTTAAATCAATTTTAAAAGTATATAGTAATTTGCTGAGAAGGCTTGAGTTGGTACTGTGTCTGTACCAGCAGATGGCGTACACATGCACACACTGAAAAGGGCTGATGGCAACAGGAGTCAGAAGGCCTCTACAGGATGTGCCACAAGTAGAGGAGCAGAGGATGATGGAAGGACTCTGTAAGATGCGTGTTGATCATGTTAAAAGGGCATCAGGAGCTTCCAGGAGAGTCCGACAATCATCTCAGGGGTGAACCTTAGTGAGGACTCCTCAGGGGCTGTGTGTTTACAATGTTAGCTCTTCATAGTCTTCCAATGAAACACTCTATCACAGTTCACTGGGCTCCACTGACTACAGTTCTGTTTGTATCTAGAGACTCTCCCACCATGCTTCTTAAAATTAAACATCTGGGTGCCATCTAGAGAGATGAGCTCATTCTGGGCTGAGAGGGAGGCCCAGGACCTGCATTTTTACTGGGTATCCCTGGTGAATGGCATGCATGGTCACAGATCCCCTAATATGAGGTGGTGGGTTTCTAGAAAAATATTTAGTCACCATCAGCACATCCTCAAAAGGGTCCCTGTGAATGTGGGGTCCCTGGAGAGTGGAGCTTCTGTTGGGAAGTGCAGTACATCTAGCCTTGGCCTGTAAGGGTTCAGAGCCATGCAAACTCTCTCCGTGAGTGCCTGGTGCCTACCCTGAGATGACAGAGGTTTGAGGTAGCCACACCACGATGCTCTGTATAACCAGAGGAAGACATCTAGCCTTGGCCTGTAAGGGTTCAGAGCCATGCAAACTCTCTCCGTGAGTGTCTGGTGCCTACCCTGAGATGACAGAGGTTTGAGGTAGCCACAGCATGATGCTCTGTATAACCAGAGGAAGCAGTGCTGGAGGGCTATTCAAGCATCACTGGGTGTTGGGAAGCAAGAGCTTTTGGTACGTTAGACTGCTGAAGTTTTACTGTCTGTGAACCAAAGCATGACCTAACCTGTATTGGCGAATTATACACCTGTATAGCCATATAATGATTTGGCACAATGGTAATACTGTTATTTCTTCTCAAGTGGTGGATTTCTGCTAGCAGAAAAGACTCTTAATGGAGGCAAGAAGTACAGGCTTGGCAGTTGATGGGGAAAATGATAACAAAGAACTATAGCCTCAAGATTGGGCACTGGCGGAGGACGATTCTGGAGGCTTCTGGGCTACCTGACTCCTCCCACAATGACCATTTCAAAGCAGAGGGAAGAGAGCTGTCCTCATCTGCAACTCTCCTCCAGACATCTCCCTGTTCACCTGACTCAAGGCACCAGTGAGCATACCGATGAACACAGAGGAAGCGCTTTTCCAAAGACTGATTTTAAAGAAGGCATCAAACTCACTAGAAACACCTCAGATGGTGTGAGGCCAGGGGCTGTTGTTTCAGAGACAGCTGGGGGGTGGGGTTGGGGGGAGAGCGCCACAGCCCCGAGGAAACCTGGGTATCTGCAATCCTACTCTCTTCCCGGCAAGGGCTCACTGGGGTATGGTTTTTCTGCCTATGGAGTTGCTCCCCAACTTCCATATACTTAAAAAAAGTTTTTAAAAAGATGAATCTACTATGAAATTAGGCCGTTCTCTGGGGTTTGAGGCTAGCTCTACACTCCTGCCCAGAATCCACACTAGTCTGTGGACTGAGGCTCATTGTCTGTCCCCACCCCCACTATAGACAGTATGCTCTGTCCCAAAGCTTTGCAACTAATACTTTTCATACTTAAGTTCTTAATTGAAGAGCTTCTGTGTAAAAGGAGATTCAATTTCATGGGAGAAGAGAGTGTTGGTTTTTGAAAGCGTGTCCTGAGGTGAGAAAGAATTACCTACTCAACCCATTTCCACCGTTCCAGTCCCCATCGCCACCCTCCTCTAAGTGGTCTGAATAGCTCTATCCCGCACATCCACCGTGAGCCTGCCTTTCAGGTCTCTATAAAAACCAGAAAGAAGCTTTTTCTGTGCCTCTCAAGGCTTTTGTGCCCGTCACTCCATCCCTCTGAGGGTTTCTGTAGCACTCATTACTGTCACATGTGGGAGCTCTGAAGAGGGACTTCCACAGACGGGAGGAAGGCGCTTACACCACTAGAGTTTCTGGACAAAGGACTGGGCTTTCTGAAGATATTTCATTTCCTGTGAAGGCCGAATGCCGCGTGAGTAATTCAATTAGCATTTCCCAAGAAGCCACAGGATTACAGCCTTTCTCTCTGAGGCCAAAATTAAGGGATGAGAGTTAGCCTTGAAACGGAGGCTACAGGTTCATCCTTTGACAAACTCACTCCCAAGTGAGGAGAGAAATTGAGCAAACGCTATAGAAGTTGGCCAGGTTCCTGGCATCCAGGTACTGATTGTGCGGGACCTTTTTACCCTGTGAGGTGCTGAAGTATTCACAGCAGCAACTTGGGACAGCAACCTCAGAATCCCAGCGAAAGCTTCGTCCTCTAGGCCTCGTGGACATCTTTTAGAGTCCACGAAAGTGTTTGCTCACTCCAATTCTACTGTTTTAATGAGAACATAATTCATTTCCCTCTCTCCTCAGGACTGACCTTCTCAGAAGGATGGGGAGTAGCACATCCAGAGTCAGGCTCTACAGGACAGGTCAGAGCACCCCTTGGCTTAGGGGCAGTGAGGGTCATTGCTGTGAACCAAAGCTTCACAGGGCCTGCCTTTAAGGTGAGGGGCAGGCTTCTGTCAGGCTCACATCCAGAAAAACATACCTTTACTGGGCACATATGTGTCTGTAAACCCAGTGCCCAGGAAGGCTGGGGAAGGAGGCGCCATACATTTGAAGCCAAACTGGGCTACATAGCAAGATCCTATCTTAAAAAACAAACAAAACTAACCCCCTTCAAAACAAAAAAAACAAATAAAAAAAAAAACCCACAGAAACCCTCACACATCTTTCTATTAGTCATTACTTGAACCAAGATTTGATACACCTCCTGGCTATTTCCTTTTCATGTATCCCTAGCCACTGAGAGGTGGGAGTGAGGTGTATGGCCAGCCTTTAAGTCCACCTAGCACACAGAATTCAGCACAAGAGATACTTCATAAAAGTGGCTCAGCAGACAATGTGCCTGCTCTGCAAGACCAATGTCCTGAATTTGATCCTTGGACCCTACGTAAAGGCAGAAGGGCAGAACCAACTCTGTACAGCTGTACTCTGACCCCGCATCCCACCCGACACGTGTGTCATGGCACACACATGCCCCACCCCCACATCATACACAGACACAAAGATAATGAATAGAAATAGAAAACCATTGGTTTGTGGCTGCCCAGTACATCCATCCAGCCCTGTCTGCCTATGCTGAACATCTGACACAGGGAAATAATCCCACCCGGTGCAGCGGGGTGCTTCTCACGGAAGGGAGGTCTACTGTGTACCTCTTTTCTCTTCTTCATTTTCCTCTTTAAAACTAGTGGGTGAAGAGAACATCCTTGGCTCTCATTTAGGGTCACATACATTTCTAATTTCTCAAGTCATTTTCCATGACTACATTTCTGTGACAATACCAGAAAATAATACTCTTATAACCATATTATAGTTGGTTTTACTTCCATTAAAAACATCTGGTAAAAGACTTTTGTAAGAGAGTGCCCTTAGGTGCGCTTTTGGGCCCTGACTCTTTGGCTAGCCCCAGTGTTCCACGTGGCTCTCCAGGAAGCAGCACAGACTTACCTGTAAGGCAGATGCCCTGGGTGCTGTTACACAGGTCTATCATCACCCGAATCTGTGAAGAGAGAGCTGATTAATAGCAAACAGTAGACAGTGGGCTTGGAAGATGTGCTTTATTCAGATGAGCAGAAAGCAGCTTGGAAGATCTGCTAAGTAACTTCAGGGTAATATGCTTGTGCCTAAGGAAAACAAATGACCAGGGGATGCTGAGAGCAGGAGAAATGGTCCTCCTCAGGGAAGCATGCAGCAACTGGTTATCCAATTCCAAATGGTGAGCCCTAAAACATACATGCAGGTAACATCATACAGACCTAGCAGAGAGTGCTTATTATGCATTTAGGAATATGTATGTCTATACTTACACATATAGGCTGCGTAATAACAATTGATGAAGATAAAAGCCATGAAAGAGAGCAGGGAGGGGAATATGGGAGGCTCGAAACAAGGGGATGAAAGGGAGAAATTATGTAACTATATTATAATTAAAAAAAAAAAAACCAAACTGACGTACACAAAAACCTGAAGAGCCAAGCATGGTGGCACAGGTCAGTAATCCCAGCCGATCCAGAGGCTGAGGCAAAAGGATGGCAGAGTGAACTCAAGGCCAGTTTGGTCAATGTATGGAGACTGGATATCTAAAGTTAAAGAGCTACGGATAAGGGTCGGTGGTAGAGTGCTTGCCTAGCATGCATGAGGCCCCAGTCCTTAGGATACCATCAAACTGCAAAGAAACCTTTGGAAGACCCGTGTATATTTGATATGAGTGATTTCCTTTAGCCTCTGAGAAGACAGAGGGGATCCCTGGGAAATCCAGTTTTCACTATGATGAATGGCAGGCTCCCAACATCTGCAAAGCTTGCTATGTGCCCCTGAATACTGAGCATGCCTTCACTGACCAGGTCAGGAAGCATCGAGGAGGTGTTTAACTTTTCAACACGCTAGTAATCCATCAACCTGCCTGGAGGCCTGAGTCAACTCATTGAAAGTACTCCTCACTGTCCTGTTCCTCAGACCATGGGACACTGTCGGCTCACTGGATAACTAACTGCCTGTTGGGTCACAATCACCACCACAAGGGCCAAGCTTGATGTCTACCTTTCGATAAACTCATGACCTAGCCTTCTCTTCTCTGTTCCCCAGAACCAAGGGTGATGACCTCAGGTCTGACATATGGATAAAATGCAGACCAGAGGACATGCTTTGGTTTATGTAAGGCAGCGGTGCGTGGACAAAAGCTTTAGTACGATTCTACACTGGTCCATTTAAGATGCCATAGGTGTGTGTGTTGGGGGGAACATCATGTGAGATGGAGGTGGAGGACCAGGTGGAAGAAACTGTCCCAAGCTCATCATGTCATGTAATGTTTTCTTCATGGATTGTGCCTTCACTTCAGTTACTTTTAGTGTTCTGGTCTGGAAGGAAGGCTCAGTGATTGTGAGCACCTGCTACTCTTGGGAGGACTGAAGTCCAGTTCCCATACTTACTGCCTACAATTCCAGATCCAGGGCATCCAAAATCTCCTTCTGGCTCAGCAGGCCTCTGGACTCAGGTACACGTATACATCCAGATACATTTAGATACACATAATTGAAAGTGAAAAATAAAACAAAACAAACAAATCCAAAAAACTCAAAATCGCTTTTAAAAGATAGTATTTGGCTGGAAGAAAAGGTGATTTAGTTTCTTATGTTGGATAGGTCCATTTGTTAGGGGATCCAGAGGGAAACTCATGTTGTATTTGTGTGTGTGTCAACAATATTTGTCGAGTGCTATCTAAAGAGGTTTGTGAGCTAAGGAGTGCACATCACATATTTACATAAATATAGTAAAACTCAACTGTGCGGGAAATACAAGTGGGTGCTTCTTATCTGCACTCATAAATTCAGCTAACTACAGGCTGAAGAAGACTCATGCTTGTACTGAATATGTTCTTTTGTCATGCTCTAAATGACACCACAATTATGTGCACAGCATTTATACTGTATTAGGGATTCTAAGCAATCCAGAGGTGATTTAAAGTAGACCAGAAAATGTGCATAGATTACATTCAGATGCTACACTATTTAATACAAAGGGATTTGAGTATCTTGTAAGTCTGGTATCTAAGAAGGGATGTAGAATGAATCCCCTGTGGATGCCAGGGGCGGGGATGATGTATTCTACTGTAGGATAAGATCTAGAAACCAACTAATACCTTGGAAATGTCTCAGGTGCCTCCGCTGCCCAGCAACTCTCTGAACTGAAGCGTACCGGGCAGTGCTCATTTCTAATAGTGCCCCTGTCTACTCAGGGCACACAGCCTGCTGGGGAATGGGGGAGGGGTGAGGCTCAACTCCAGGCCCACTGTACTCTATAATGGCTTTGATAATTATCTTAACATGACCAGACCCCCACCCCCATGGATTCACTGCATTTTAGTTATTTTTATAAATGAATGTAATCAGCTGCACCACGACAAAATTTATTGTCTTTAAAAAATATATAATTACCCATTGAACGGACCAGAAAAGACTTCACAATGATTCATCTGTTGCCTGGGGGATCACAGCAGAAGCTGGTTTGCCACAGCCAAGCATCAATAGGGAAAATGAGCCTTTCTTCCTGACACTCATTACTGGTCTGGGACAGGCACAGCTGGAAACTGTGGGGAGGGAGTTTTCATTTCCTGACCTGTTGGCTTCATTTATAAGCTGAGTGCCAATTTACATGTTTTATAGGAAATTGTTTTAATCTTCTTAGAAATATTCTCTTAATAAACTTAGGCACCACGTAACTGTATTTGAAATGAAACATTCTGTATGAAAATGTGCAGTCATAAAGCCAGAAGTGACTCCCCCAACACACATGCATACACACCACTACCACCACCACCACCATCACCATCACAATGATTAAGAATCAAAAGTCACAAAACCTAGATTGTCAAACTCAAGAGTCATATTGGTATAGAATGCTTCTTAGGTTTTGATTTAGGATTTCAGGGTGTAGAAGTGGAAGAGGCCTTTGAATATCCTGGGGGTGTTAAGCAGGCTGTGTCTACATCCCTGTCCAGTTCCCCCCCAGCCCCGCCCACGGAGGCCATTGCCCTGGGCAAGTCGTGCTGGCACGCCACAGCTTTTTGTTGGCCCCAACTGAAGGAAGGCTCTTGTCAGGCTCTCCCTAACTCCTGGGTGAAAGGACCAATCCGATCCTCCAGTGGCCTTGCCTGGTTTTTGTTTTATCTTGGAAGCACTTACTATTATCAATGCTACGTTGTTTGTGTACAAAGTTATATTTACAAAATTAGTCACCCCATGCTCCTGGTAGGGAAAATATATAAGAATTTCTGGAATTTTCATTGCAACATGGCTTTTGTAGCAAGATGAGGTAAATGACTCAATGTCACAGGTTTCATATCGATGACTTGTTGTGACAAAACAATGTGATGGTTCAGAATGTTTTCTAGAAAAGTGGCTTTGGTGTACTGTTAAGTGAGAAAGCAAATAATAGCCACACAGCACCACAATGGGCCCTGTCAGGGTGTCTCTGAAGTTCTCCCATGTGTACCTTCTCTTTGCTCAGTGGAATAGTGTTTAAATTGAGCTCAGCCCCTCTTGGGGGGGTGGAGATATAGCTTAGTTGGTAGAGTGCTTGCCTACTTTGTAAGAACCTTGGATTCCATTCCTAGAACTGTACAAAACCAGACTGGAGCACACCCTAATTCCAACAGCCTGAACTACATTGGATTCTGCCTCAACCCCCAAAATAAAAAGCCAATAAACATAGCTTAGTCCTATGTCTCTTGGACGATGGCCATTCCTTAGGACTGTTCTTAATTGTTTAAATTACTATGATGAACATGTAAATGACCTAACAAAAGCTCCCAGCATCTGATAATTAGCCTGTCATTATCAGACCCTTTGGGCTGGAGACCAGAGACTCCAAGAATGTTTCTTACTGGTGGTTCAAACCACAGATGACGAAAGACTACCCAGAGGTCTGAGGTTGTGGTCAGATAATCTGGACTCAGCCAAGAAAGGCAGACTCTTCCACTGTGTGAGGAAAATTTGCAATCCCAAAAGGAACATGCAGTTTGCCTTTGTTTAAAAATTAAAAAACGAAACAAAACAAAACAAAACAAAACTCAAGGCCAGCCACCTGTAGGCACCTAACCGAAACTGAAGCCTTCCTTTCTTCTTCCTCCCCAAACCTAACTTTAAACAGAAATACAAAGTACTCTGTCCTTGGCAGCAAGAGCTTACGAAATTAAACAAAGCAGTTGCAGATAAGCCTTCAAAGAGAATGTGTAACTGTGTGGTGATGCTCACCTGTAATCTGCAGGCAGGAGGTGAAGGTAGGACTGCAAGTTCAGGCCACTTTAGGGGGGAAGACACACACATGCATGCACATGCACATGCACGCACACACACATACACACACACATGCACATGTGTGCACACATGCATGTGCACACACACACTCTCAAGAGAGTGAGGGGGGTCAGAACATTTCTTTGTTTTAAAACTGTGGTAGAAGTGTTATAAAACTGATACTGTGCAATTTTTTTGATATGAAGTCTCTTAGCCTGTGAACTGTTTTCCATATTCATACTAAGCTCTTGAAATTCTATTGTGATCTGATGGAGCTGGCCTAAGGCTCAATAGTGCAACTCTGAGGTCTAGGTCCCAGCCAGTGCTGAGTCTTAGTCCTGTAAGAAAACCAGTGGGGCCCAGGCAAGTGAGCCTGGCCCTCTTCTTGTCCTTCATTCTGCTTGGGATCCCTAAGAACCCAAGGGAATCCTCCTTCTCCTAGATGGCTGTCAGCTCTGCAGCATGGCTCTTCCTGATAGGGACTGGAATCATCTGGGAAAGGCATGTACCTGTCCTCACTTACACCACGCTTTCCTCATGGGAAGTAACATTGGTGCTGCTGGAGTGTAAGGAGTCACACCCCAAAGCATGGTCTTTTGCTTAAACTGAAGACTTTCTTTACGAATAGCATAGTCTTTCTCTAGCACTCAGACTGGCCTTGAAGTCAAAATCTTCCTGTCTCAGTCCCCAGGTGCTGGGGCACTAT